ATCCTCTAGTAGCCTGAAAAACTTACCTGTTGTCCCATTATGCTTGGGAGGTTCTTCTAGATCTAGCTGAACTATATCTTCTTCTGAGGCATCATGCATTATAGAATCCACAACTTCAGGCCCTCTGACATCTTTAATCAAATCTATCATTCTACCACAACCTCCCCCCGGTACCAATTCATCGACAAAATGGTCATCTTGGACAAAGCTCTCTCTGTGGTAATACCATCTTGTATAAGATTTAACAATCCCATTCATGATCAAATGAGCCTTCACTTCTTCTTTGTTAAAGTGCAAGACATTATTACACTTCTTGCAAGGACACAAAATCACACCTTTCTTGTTGTCGTTGGTTAATGCAAAATCCAGGAAATCATCTACTCCTTTAATGTACTCTCTACTCAATCTATTTGAAACTTGCATCCAGCTTCTGTCCATCTTGTTAATCTACAGTGAAACATATAAGTTGGGTCAGGAAACAAAGGATAATAAGAATGCTCACAACTCTACAAATATATATATGTCGGGCATAGGCATTCAATTCATAATTCGGGTTTCTTCTCAGATTGACGATTTCCCAGTAGGGGTGAAACTGGGCCAAACCCAGCCCTGACCCTACCACTACCCCAAAAAAACCCAGCCCTGTATGCCTATTAATTCATAAAAGTTTGATTACAAAAATTCCAACTAATTCCAAAAAATTTAAGGCAACAAGTATATAGAGGAAATGTGATCTATGATGTTGCAGCTAGCAATCTACCAGAACTAACGATCTTGGGATACCCTAAATTTCTGAACATTCACATAACCTTCAGCAACTAAGCCACTGTCTCGTCGTGAACATCTTCTACTGCTGGCTCATGATTAATAGGCATCGAGTCTTCTACATCTGAAATCATGTTAGCAGAACCTAGGTGTACATCAGATAACTATTCCCAATTCGGATGAGCTTCCTAGTTGTCTTGATGTATTGAATCTTCTAACTAGTAGTAAGTATACAGTCTTGACATCCCACCAACAATGCCACCATAATTCTGTAACTTTGATTCCATATCCTCCAACCTAAACTATGTAGTCATGTACCTATGCATATCTGTTCACAAGTACTCTACCCTACTAAAGAACTCCAAAAATGGTTTGTTGAAGAATGAAGGGAATATCTTAACAGGAAATGCAACCAATATAGCAATTCACCACACGATCAATTCTCCAGTTCCACCACATCACATCGAGTCATTGCCACGAACCCCAATTCTGATCATGACTTATGTACAACACAACACTGCTAAGCCATTAAGAAAAAGGATTGACCAAAGCCAGCAATTAACAAGACAGGAAAAGTGAGATGAACCAGTCAAACCTGGGTTTGGGGAGCAAAGAAATTGGGTGTGTGGAATCCGATTCAGAGCTTGGCGACGGTGGAAATTAACGGTCAGTGGAGAAGCTGCAGGGCAAGAAGAGGAAGCTGGACAAGAAACTGAAGTCGATTCACTCGTGGAGGAAGCTCTCGAGCATCATCTTCGTCGCCAGCTTTGGGCGGTGCTGATATGGTCCGTCGTGGCGGCGGCAACGTCGATCCCGCTGGGGTCGATGGGGAAGTGGATCGACTCGCTGTGGCGGAACTATGAGAGCGCGGTGAAGGGGCAGAAGGAATCGTGGGGACAATGCAGGTCGGGAGCTACCTGGATCCACAGGATTGGGCCGGGCTGATGGGTAGTCAATAGTGAGAAGAAGGACCTGGATCAAGGACCTGGATCCACAGTTCAATGAAAAGTTCTTAACAATCAATAAAATTATATCATAAAATAAATCATAAATTTTTCATTAAATTTAAGTTAGTAATTATGATTAAATACATTGGATATTAATTTTTTTCACATTTTTTTAAACTGGCAAGAACCGACACAAACTAGTTATATCACCGGTCGCACCATTCGACTTACTAAACCGGTTCAACAGTATAAACCGGTTTGACAACCTTGGTTTACATTAAACCAAGGTGATTCATCTGGTTTATATCCAACCATTAAAAATAAAATTAATAGAAAATAATTCTCGTAATAAAAGAAATCTAATAAGATCCATTTTACTAATTTTAAATTTTTGAATTTTTGCTATATTTTATATTAAAATTATATTTGAACATTTTACAACACCTCTTATATTAAAAAGGTACTTTTAGTAGTATTTAGGCAAATACTCAACTACTTTGTTTGAAAAGTGTGTTTCTAAGACCTCTTATATTAAAAATTTACTACTTTAAAGTTTTTAAATTTTTGCTATATTTTATATTAAAATTATATTTGAACTTTTACAAGACCTCTTATATTAAAAAAGTACTTTTAGTAGTTTTTTAGGCAAACACTCAACTACTTTGTTTGAAAAGTGTGTTTCTAAGAGCTCAAGTAGGAATGACAATTTCGACCTGACTCAATTTACCCGACCTGTTTGACCTGTTTTGGGGCGGGCATGGGTACCTCTCATCGACCCGACCTGTCCTGGCCCGCCCCATTCTCGACCCGTTCTTGCCTAAATTACATGTAATCTTAGTCAAATTAGTTAGGTTTTTCATCTTATTACATTATATTTTAGCTATAATAAAGTTGTAAATAAGTGAAAACCTCAATTTCTTCAATAATTTAACTACATTTTACCATATTATCGTTTCTTTCTTGGTGTTTTTAGTGAAAATAACGAATATTTCTATTGTTTTTCGCATAAATTACCTACCCATTGGGTCGACCTGTCCCGACCCGCTCCCCGTGATAAATTACCCGACATGTACCTGACTTGCCAAGGGGCGGGTATGGGTATGGAGATACCCGCTCCGGACCTGAATCAATGATTGGACCAATAGTGCCTTCAATCAGCTTTATTCCGGTTCAAATGTCAATTCGGTCCATTTTCTTCAGTGTCAATAAAATTCATAGAACCAAACACCGGATCAAACTATATACGATTTGGTGTGGTCTGGTCGAAACATCATTTTGGTCCAGTATGAACCAACCCATTGCCCACACCTGAAATAAAATTAAAATATGGTAAGTATAATCTTGTATTTTCAAAACAGCTTTTCGCAGAAGTTCCAAATCGGAGCTTCTGCTTTTATGTTATACAAAAGCGCATTTCGGCTTTTCAAAAGTCGAGCTTTTAGAGGTGTTTGGCCATGTTTCATCTTTTAAAGCCGAAAAACACTTCTAAAAGTCGGGCCAAACATAAATAAAATGAATTGAGAATTCATTTCATTTTGAAATGAACTATCATTAAAATTTATTGTTAAATGAATCCATGTTTATGGTATGTCATATTTAAATTTTTAGACACAATATTCAATGAAAATATATCTTCTAAAAAATAATTTTTCTCCCATACGTAGAATATCAAACTTGTTCTTGTGTGTTTCTATTATATTCATTAGTTCTGTTTCTTAACTCACTGATACAATTGAAACAGAATTATCAATTAATTGTGGAATTCATTTGGAAATTTCATCTCAATTTCTCGGCATTCTTATAACTAGTTCCAATTCCGTATAATTCAAAATTTGGAATTGATAATGAACTTTTATTTGGAAAAAAATGAATTCTTTTAAATAACAAGTACAAAATGATATTATTTAAAGATGAATTTCTTAAAACTTATTTAATTCATTTATACCAAGATTTAGTAGCTCAGTTATCTTTAGACTAAAAACATTAGCTCGTTTATCTATGAAAGTCCTTTATAGTTTGGAATTATTTATATTGAATCAAAATTCTAGGAGATTCGGCCACTGTATTTGTTAACTAAATCCTTTTTACCAATAGTTTTTACTGATATTGCCTAACAGGGTAATTACTGCAAAATATTAATTTAGAAAAAGGAAATTTGGTTAGCACAAATAAAGCTAAAATCAATGACGTTACCCATTTTGGGTATCCTATTTCAAATAGGTAATTGGTTTTCTTTTTCCTTGTAAACATTATCTTTCAAGAGCCGCCACAACCCTCTTTTGAGGGCAAAAAAATTGAGCGGACTCTTGAAAAGTAAAAGTTTAGGGCGGAAGTTTACAGCGGGAAAGCAAATTTTGAGAACTTACTCACTATATAAATCATCATGGTTTCTTCCACTCAAGCTTTCCGAAAGACTACCGATAGAGCACTTGTATTCCTAGAAGCTGAAACTATTACCAAGGTAATTGATACTGCGCATTTAGTATAATCTTAATTGTTGCTTCAGTTCCTATCGATCACAAAACGGTTTTCTCAATTGTCAATGTATTTCGTAGCCAAAAAGGGTTGACCGTGCATATATGCATCTGTACCTGGATGTCAGATCTTAATGACTCTCATCCCTTTTTCTTTTGTTCTTGTTATCGGCTCAATTTTTCTGGATTGATACTTTTATTGATTACTCTTTGGAAGCTAACATAAATCCTTGTCTTCTAAAATCAGGTTAAAGCAAGGTCAATATATTGTTTATCTTATTAGTTTATATTATATATACAAACGAGGAGAAACAAAATTGAAATCGCCGACTGGCCCCTGCATTCTATTTATACGCATGGTCTTTGAGTACAATTGGCCTTGTTGATAATTTAGAAATTACTTTTACAGGTCTATCTTCAACAATGCCGAGGTGTGGAGGTCTCCGGAAAAGGAAAAGGAAGGTGAACTAAAACAGTAATGAAAACCAAGTTGAAGAAGATTCAGAACATAATATTGTGAGTCAATCTCATTCGTCCAATGAGATTCCTTCAACTTTAAGTGACTCTTCAGTTCCTACTTCTACTGAAAACTCAGCAAGTGACATACCTTCACCAAGTATGTTTTTGTTTTCACTTAGACTTAATTAAATTGCACTTTTAAATACTTAATTGTCAGGATGTCTTACTAAGTAGCTATTGTTTCTCTGGTATGCTCACTGTAGGAAATTTTAATGCCCAAGAATTAACAATCAAGTATCATTATGGAGGTCATTTCACATTTTCACCTCGTAGGCAGTACACAGGGGGGAGTGAGATGGTAAAAGATGGCCATGAGGTGGATTTCCTCTGTTATTTCACTATCCTGGATGACCTTAAGGCATGTGGCTTTAACATTCTTGATGGAGATAAGTTCTATTATCTTAAACCAAGAACTCCTATTAGTGACTTGAATGGGCTTGTACGTGTGAATGATGATGATGATGTTTCATCCATGCTGTCCTCTTATAAGAAACACATGCTATCTACATTTGAGATATACACATTGTCAAGAAAACATGATATTTTGCCAAATGAAAGCATGGGAGAAGAGATTCCTCTGGACAGTGATCCCCATGATCCAATTCAGCCATCAACTGTACAAGAACCGGAGCTTAATCCCTCAGGTATATTATATATACACCTTTCCATCTCAAAGACATAATTATATATTTGCTTTTTCATATAGCAGTCCGATCGATAAGGTATTTTCAGAATCCTATTTAATTATTTATTTTACCTTCTCAACAGAAGGTTCGCATTTGAAGAAAAAGAAAACGCGAGGACCCACACGATGTATGAAAATTATTGAGTTAGAGGAAGGAAGAAAGCTGCCAGTAGATTTTGATGAAGATCATCAAGCAATTGGAGAAAACGCAACAAGTTTTGTTTGGTTCTTGGGAGTAACGGTTCGAAATCGATCATGTTGTCCTTTACAAGTGAAAAGATGGAAGGATATTAGTAATGATGCTATCGAGCATATGTGGGCAATTGTACAGGTAATCAAATTCTTACTTGATTTTTTTTTTTTGAATTATTTACTAACTTGCAGATAAATCATATCTCAATTCTTATTTAATATGATTCTCACATTTTTTATAGGAGAAGTTTACATTTGAATTACCAATGGGAAGGATGGAAGCAATCATCGGTCACATGAATGCATTATATCCGGATCATAGGCAAAAGTTGAAGCAGAAATATTTCAACAAGAAACATAGTTACAAAAGTCGCTTGAAGAATAGGCCAAAAAGAGTCTCAAAAGATGATTGGAAGTATCTCGTTAACTTATGGAGCGATCCAACTTTCCAGGTATTATGTTTATAAATTTTATGCAAGATAAATTATATAATTTCTCGAATAGTTTTTTTCATATGCATATTAAACATTGGTTTCGTTTTGTCAGGAAAGGAGTTTGAAAAATAAAGAGAACAGATCAAAACGTTCAATGCAACGCTACACAAGCACAAAAAGTCTTGCTCGACTTAGACACCAAATGGTACATTTATGTTATAAGAATATTCAATTATTTATATCATACTTTATTTTATTCTAAGCTAATAATCCCTATTTCCTTTTCAGAAAAAACAAAATGGAACTGTTCCTTCTCGTGTTGAGGTTTGGATTGAATCACGTAAGAGAAAGAAAGGAAAGGCTATAGACCCTGACTCCCAAGATGTGATTGTAAGAGAACTTTTATTTAAAAGATCAAAACATTGGTTATTTCATTACATATCAATTACGTAATTTGTTTCTTTCAGTTCAGTTTCTACTCAACGATTAATTGTTGTTTTCATCTTTCTAACGCAGTCTCAACTTGATTAATTGAAGAAACAAAGAGCTGAAGGAGTTGTTTCTATGAATGATGAAGAAATGTTTGAAAAGATTCTAGGACCTGAGAAGAATGGCTATGTGCGAGCTTATGGACCTGGAAAAGGCGTGACCGAATTCTTTGGTGTTAAACCAACCAAAGCTGCACTTATAAAACAAGTAGAAGCTGCTAGAAAAGAAGCGAGTGAACAAGTGGAACAAGCCAAAAAGGAAGCCAATGAACGAGTAGATAAGATAACCAGAGACGTTGAGAAACAAATGGCTGATATGAACAAGAAATGGGAAGAAAAGTTTCAAATCCTACTTTCTAATACAAGATCTTCAGCGCCAAGAGAAGAGTCTAATGAGGAAGTAAGTGAGAATTTTTAAATTGTTTATGTTTGATCTTCATCTTCTTGTCTTTTCACTTGTGCATTACTCAATTTTTGCAGGTGACAGAGAGTGAATAATCTGAACGAATTCTAGAGATTTTATCATTGCAATTCTTCGAGGGGTGTAGCACTTTTTAGGATGATTATCAGTTTAGACTTTGGACTATCGATTTTATGTTTTTGCTTCTATTTGATAATAACTTTTCAGATTAGTCATTATGTTTTTTTATTATGTTTCCGGATCATGCCTCATGTGCTGAATTTATTTATATTATTTCGTGGATGTGTGATCAATAGTCTAAGCCTACAACTAACAATAACATGATATGCAGCCACGTCTATACATAGTCATGTAATGCAATCATTATGTTTCCCACCACAACAAACAATTTAAACACATTTAATTTTGAAAAAATAATTTAAAAAAACAAATTCTAAGCTTCATTGTGGTTAAAAAAAATTTACAGCCACAAAATTCATTTCATGGCTAAATTTTTCAATATATATAGCGACTAATAATATAGCTGTGTACCCAACTGCAGCAAAATATATAGCTACAAAGTAGTTTATGGCAAATGTTTTATAACTTTTGCCACATGTAGTATTTTGTGAAGCAAAAACAAAAAGATTTAGCTATGGAATTACTAGTAGCATAAAATAGATTTTGTTGCCACAACATGCATACATAAAGCTAAATCTTGATTTCTTTTGGCCACGATGATAACACCGTAGCAAGAATACTTCATCTACAGTTACAAAATACTTGGTAGCAAAAACATAAACATTATAGCCATGTTAAGTATTTTGTAAGCTATTAGTAAATTTTATAGCCACGACTCTTTTGGTAGTAAAACATACTTTGTTATAGTTTGAAGATAATTTGTGTCAAAATCTATAGCTAAATGCGTGGCAAAAACTATCGTTCTTTAGTTTCAAATTATGAATGCGTAGCAAAATGCTTGATAAAGCAACAAATTATATTCTTAGTAGCAAAAAATCTTCATGATCTAGCTACATAATATCCATTTTATGGCAAGACTTTCAGCTATATTATGTTTCTTTTATAGCTAAATGCATTGGTTGTTAGCTACGTAATTGGGAAAATGTGTGGCTAACTTTTAGCTGCGCCACTTCTAGCTACGCAAGCTAGAAAATAAAAATTATGTGGCTATATAATTTAGCCACGCAAATTTGACATTTTAGCCACAAATAGTTCCATAGCTGTATGGGCAAATTCTTGTAGTGTTAGATTTAGAAAGTGGTGATTTCTAAAATCTCTTATTGTTCAAGTTTTCACTATTTCTTTCCACCCAATTCAATGTATGAATATCGTAACACTTTGTTTTCTTTTTTCTTACTTAGTTAATACCACTTTCCAGTCTAGAATGGAAAGTGCAAGTGATACTACCAATGCATATGCAAGTTTCAACATTCCAGTGGAGAATGAGCAGGAGAGTGAGGAAGAAGTGTCGGAGGAAGAGGAAGAGTATGAGAAAGATGGATATAACAATTTTAGTCATGACTTCGTGGGTCGATTGAAAGAATAGGGTTATGCAGATGTTGGTTTTTCTCTTGCTATTGATAAGTGATGAATGATGATGATGCGTTGTTGATTTGTTGTTGACTTGTTGTTGCTATTTGGAGGATCTATTTAGATTTGTGAATTGTGGAGTTTATGACTTTATATTGTTGAATTAATGAATTTGAAACATTAATTTGGTGATTTAGATGTATTTTCGATGCAAAATGAATTGGAACTTTATTTTGGGTGATTTATATATAGAAATGTAGGTATGAACCTTTAATTTTAGGCGGTTTTACTGTTTTTTTTCTTCATGCAGGCGGGACTAGTTTCGATCGGTTTCCCAATCAAACTGAATCGACAGTCTACGTTTCCGTTACCACGGCTAACCGAACCAAAACCGACAACCGACCGGTCAGTGGTCGGTAGGCATAGGGATGGCTTGGTTTAACCAAAAACCGAGATTTCTATTTTCGGTTAAACCAAAATCGACCGAATGACACCTCTATGAAAAATTAACGGTTTGGCTAATAAATTGTTTTTGAAAAAGTTGGGCTATTATTTTCTTTAAAACGAAAGGTTTGGCTAATAAATTATATTTAGCTCATCATCTACTATGCATACCTAAATCATCAACTCGTAAAACATAAATGAGAATCATTTCGAAATCCGGGAAAACTTCAAACCCAATCCTCCATGGATCATTGTGCAGTGCTAGAGTTTCTCTCAATTCCTTCAATCTTGTAAGAAACTGAAAGCACATGGGTCAACTACTAAGCTCTGTGTGTGGATTTTTCCCACCTACACTACCTACTAATTGGGACCGTATTGAGCGAATCACATTTTCACATATAATCGCATTTTAGGGGTCGTTTGGAAATTAGGAGTCTAAATGAGTGATTCTGTGAATGTGTGTATTCTTTACAATCCATCATTCTTTTACATAAGCTTTATCCAGAATGCATGCATTTAAATGAAACTTTAGAATCTCAAATGGTTAGAATCATTCATTTTAGAATCTCTACAAAAAGGTGAGATTCTCTTGCTTTACTTTTGTAATTGCTTTTTTGCACTCTTATCCTTATTTTGTTTTATTTCATATTTGCGCAATGATTATATAAAGAGAACGTGATGGTTATATAAGTTTTTTTGGTCATTAAAGTGAGAATCCTTATATTCTTCAAAAGTGAGAATCACAACTATCAAACATCATATTCTTACAATCATCTATTCTTATAATCACTATACTAAAATACATACACTATAAGAATACACATATTTGTAGACTCCCAACTTGCAAACGACCCCTCAATATTATAGATGCCAATCTAGGTTATCATAATCAATATACCAATTACATCAGCTCATCATCGTCGAACCAATTTATCCGAAATGATAATCACATAGTTTTACGAACACACTTTGCAATGCATGATACGAAAAATGCCAGTTTATTATCAATGGGCGCCAAGGTCACTATACAAATACCCGCTCAAGAAAATCATCATCATCACCAGTGGTTTTTCATGCAACCACAATTATCAATTCTAGAAGCGAGCTAAATATACCCAATCCCAATGGTTGGAGGTAAATGCAGGAACTCATATACGTCTAGGTGAGTTAATATAATCACAAAATCAAACAATTCCTATTTCCCTCATCCATGACAATCGAATCGAAATCAATGTTGTCTAACTAATTCCTGGTCAATTCATTTCTCATGTCAACATTTCATCAAAAAAATATAGTAACCAATGCCTTCCCATTGAGTTCCCATTTCAAATATTTTTGATACACTTAGTAGAGGGGAAGATAACTGCATCCATTCACCTTGAAATGGTGTATACACATAAATAAAGAGGTTGATTATGACCTTTACTTGAGAGGGGCTCATTTGAAGGAATATTGATTTAGTTTAGACAAATAAGTATTGTAGTGTATATTTGGAGTACTCTTTGCATAGTCGAGGAACTCATTATCATGCTTTAACAAGGTCATCTCCTGCTCGTGCAAGGCGATCCAAGCTTCAACTCCATATCCAGTTGGCGAATCCATCAAAGCCACAAGATTGTTTATATTATCAGCAAATCTAGCCATGCTAACCCAAACCGGATTTCCCCATCCGAAATCTACGTCATATAATCCCAGCCTAATCACGCTGGACACCACAAAGTGCATCACTTTGCTCCCGCTTTGAGCACCAGCCGCCATCATCTTCCGCCTCATCTCCTCATTTCTCATGTGTTCTTCCCTCCCAGCTCCGCCTTCTAACCTCCCCATGAACTCTCCATCCACTTTCTCGATCGAGCTTCTCAGTTTGTGCACCAGTTGCTGCAACGTCTTCGCTTCATTATTCGAAGAATGAAATTGCAAGTAATCGTTGTTGTTGTGTAACGCGATGGGGTCCCATATTAAGTTGCCAACTGTGTAGCCAGACGCCCATGGTTCCTTCATTCGATATCGAAGGTCAACTGTCATCCCTAATTAAGATAAAATCATCCAAAAAGTGTTACATTAATTATATTTTTAAAAATATTTATTGCTATGACTTGATAAAAGATTATATGTCGTCGACTGGAATTCACGTAATCTCTTTATTACTGATCTGTAAGTTAAATTGATCTCTCCTATCAACGAAATAGCTAACACGCAAACCATGTAAACTTATGCGTTGCGTAATTTTTTGTTTTTTCGTATTCTATCACGCAAATTATTGATATATACTTTGATTGTACATTACCTGCTAGCTGTTGGGATGAATAGCTTTGAAAAGCTATAATGAAATTCCTAATTAATTATCCAGTATTTTTCCATAATACGAAATTAAGATGGATAATTAATAAAAGGAATATTATGGAGATAATTAGGAATAATTATCTTAATAGATTATATTTTAATTATGGGAGTAATTATCTCCCTAATTAAAATGTGACTTATTCCCAAAGAAAGAGGGAATATTCTGGGTTTTCTGCTCCTATAAATAGGAGACGCCCCAGACCCTTTAAACACACCTCAGAAGAGCAAAAACACGAGAGAGAGTGAATTCATAGAGCTCCGGTTTTTTGCACAAAACCGATGAGCAACAAAATTAGAATGGCTGTTTTATCCTGGAGGCGACCGGCTGATAGTCTGCTGTGCGCAATACGAGGCAGTGCCGCGAACGTCTTAAAGAGAGCGACCTAGTCCGCGACTCAGCCAGATCGGTAACCCTAATTTTTCTGTTTGGTTTCTAACATTTTTAAGACGCTCGGTGGCTGTCATAGTATCGAACAGGAACCGATTCTGGCTCGCGTGAGTTCGCCGATCCAGCTATCAATTCCCCGTAACCAATTTCATCGCCCCACTTTGACGTCCTCATTCTCTTCTCGTTCAATGGCGTTGGCACCGACAGCAGCCCTGACCCGAGACCAGTACGTCTACTTGGCGAAGCTCGCTGAGCAAGCCGAGCGCTACGAGGAGATGAATGGCTCTTCGTCGAGGAGCAGAAACTTCTCTCCGTCGCTTACAAGAACATGATTGGCTCCCTCCGCGCCGCCTGGCGTATTGTATCCTCGATCGAGCAGAAAGAGGAAGGCAAGAGGAACGACGAGCTCGCTGTGCTCGTTAAGGAGTACAGGTCCAAAATCGAGACCGAGCTTTCAGCCGTCTGCGCCGGGGTTCTGGCTATTCTCGACTCCAATTTGGTTCCCTCCGCCGCTAGCAGCGAGTCCAAGGTCTTCTACTTGAAGATGAAGAAGGATTTGTTCTCTGCAACGGAATTCCATCCCACGTCACCGTCGTCGGAGCCATAACCTTGACAGAGCAGGACGCTCTCAGCAAGTTCAATTTGCTTGGAAGGGCTTTACGGGAGGAAAGTCCAACAGAGATGGCTTGACATGGGGAATGAATTACTTGCTACATTCTAAATTTGATTAGAATCTCCAAGGGACGTCTGGTTATCTATCTTTGAATGGTGGGTGGTAATTCAATTGACCAACCCAGCTAATCCCGTGGGCAGACAGAGATTTGGGCCAGCAAGCTGGCTCGGTCATTGGGTCTTCCATCTCGTCCCGGCCAAGATTAAAAGACAAGCTTTGGGCCGCCAATTTTGATGGATCTAGTGATGGTTAAATGACGAACTTTGGGCCAATACTTTTGACTAACGCGGGCTTGCGTACAAGAAAAAAAAAGTTGCTTCATGAACTCGCTATTAGTTGCTGGCGGTCATGAGGGATTGGTTTAATTCCAATTCTCAAGCGAAACGAAGGCATAGTCATTATCCTCTAATATTCTGAAGCTCAAGTAAAGTGCAAATTGGGTCTGGTCCTTTTAAGCCCAGTCCGAAGCAAGAGAAAAGGAAATTGGATTGTTATGAACAAGTGGTGGGCTTTGTTTCTGATCAACAACAGAATTGCCGTGGTGGTGTTTTAGTCTCTCCTAAGGAGCTCGAACTGGCAGCTTTTGATGCTCCTGTTATGTGGCTCGATAATAGCTTGGAAGCTGAGAAACAGAGAAGCTGTGCGTTGTGCAAGCTATGAGCCACAAAATCAACCGGGAATGACTTCTTGAAAAGAGGTAAGAACCGAAACCTTACTTATGAGTCATTTATTAATGGCAATAAGAATCTACCATATGCATGGAATTGAGAATCATTATGAATGCTAGAAATGAAAATCTATAATTGATGCATGTTGACGTTGAGATTTATTACCTTGATGATTAGAAATTGAATACATGTTGTGGAGTATAATGATTTTGTTTAAATGCATGCATATGTGTGAAGAATATATGGGAATATAATGGTTTTATTGCCCATAATAACGATATTATAAGAAGTACTATTATCAGTACTACACGAACCACTTAGGTTGCTGTGAAACATTAAAGTTTCAAGAATGAGAGCAGCAAGCTGAACCAGATCCACACCAATTAGAATGGTACCCATCGTGGTACCATAAGATTGTCACACAATTCTCTAAGAATGACGATATGTTTCTCAATTAAATTTGAGAAGAACTAGGTCATATGACACGAAAGTGTTAGAGCAAGTTTAACAAAGTATTGTGTTAACTTGATTAAAGAAGAGGATTTGGCAATAATAATCGCTTAGGTGATGACAGAGGTTAGCCTTAATGGTAACTCTGGAGAATGGTTGTTGGATACTAGCGCCCCAAAGCATGTGTGTGATAGACGATCTAAGATGGATTATTTTTTGGACGTGGGCGTCCTTGTAAAGAATTAGAATATCTAAAGTCACATTCCCATATTATTCTCGAACGCTTGAAATAAATAAAAATTTTGTATCCAAGCAAAATGACCCATAAAATATGTGGTTAGAGAATCAGAATCAATAAATCTGATTTATGTTGATATGGGTAAACTTGATGAAAAAGAAAATAAATGGTTTATTGCTCTTTAGAGTGCTCTGATTGTCTAACTAGTTATTCGAAATAGTTTGAAATGCCTAGTTGCATTATGATTGCACTGATTATTCGATACGTGGCATGCATGTGGTAGCGTTAGAGAATCACTGACATGATAACTAGAAGAGCATATGAGTGTGTTGTCAACAATAAAAACACATAGTTCCTAAGAAACGAAATACTCATGTTGTGAAATCCATTGATGCCAATAAACTTCCATTTTAAATCCAGAAATAGTTGGGGTAGTGCCCTGCCTACTATTAGAAATAATGGATCTAGTGGGGGTGATGAATTTGAGTATGAATTCACAAGAGACAAATGAACCATAAATCACTAAAAGATTTTGGTTATGAATTTGTTATTAGACCCTAAGAAAGATCCTACAAGTCTGCTAGAAGTTCGAACTTCCATAAAGATGCAGAATTGTGGGAGAATCCATTATTAATGAAATGGAATTATTGGAGTCTAATAAGACTTAAAATCTTGTAGAGTTACCTCTGGTTGAAAAGCCTTTGGTAATATATTGATAGAATCGAACAAGATTTGGTATCTTTGAGAATTACCTCTTGGCAATGAAGTCATGAGTAATAGATGGATTCTTAAAGAAAAAATGAAACATATTAGTTTAGTTTATGATTATAAGGATCGCCTAATAGCTAAGGCTTTAAGCGAAAAGGAAAAATTGTAAATTTTCTTGTTATCCATTCGCCATATGTAGAATAACATCCATGTATGTTCTGATTGCTAGTGTTGTGCGTCAGATGGATTGTTAAACATGTTTCTGTGAATGGTGATTTAGATAGGAAAATCTACATGGCACAACCTATAGGGTTGTTATTCCTGAACATGCTTAGGGAGTCTATAGTTAGACAAATCATTGTAAGATTTGAAATAGACTCTAAGACGATGGCATAAATAAACTGGTTATCTCTCATGGTTTTAAAAGTGAAAGTCACAAGTGCATTTAGTACAAGAGAAATTTTACAATGCTATATAGTATTGGTGCTATAGGTTTTTACCTTTATGGTACAACTTAAAATTGTACATTTACGTTATGGTACAACTTCATATTGTACCTATACTTTTTGTACAAATTCTTTTATGGTACAACTTGAACTTGTACCTTTATGTGATGGTACAACTTCAAGTTGTAAAGTTGTACCATAACATAATGGTACAAATTGTTTTATGGTACAACCTAAACTTATACATTTAATGTTATGGTACAATTTTGAGTTATACATTAAAGCACCAATGCTATATAGCATAGTAGAAGTGCTCTTAGTACAAATTTGAGAATGACACTTGCATTATGAATGACACGTCGATCTTTAGTACAAAGACACGTAATGTCAATTTTGAAAAACCATGATGTTTGAGAATTATGAAGGTAAAAAGATCTGGATGAAGCAAGTGTTATGCTCGGAGATCCAGATTACTAGGACAATGAAAGAGATTTCATCTAGATCAGTTTTAACTACACAGTTAGATCTAGAGGAAATACGAGTTCTACACCTGCATAAATGTTTGATGGTGCTAGTATAATTTTTAAGGGCACCAAAGACGGTGTAAGAAAGTAAGAACATACTAGGATTGACAGTCTGCGAGAGGCAGCTGATAAACATGAGACCCGACATAGTGGGGGTACTTGGCAGGCTTACTGATTGTCCTAGTATGAAGCATTGAAAAGCTATTGAAATGGGTCATGAGACACCTTAAAAGAACAGAAAAACCTTGGTATTTGTTATCAAAGGTTTTGCTGTATTGGTAGGGTATAGTGATGCGGATTAGAATACCCTATAGAGGACTCCAAGACAACAAGAGGCTGTGTTTTAAACATCGATAGAGAAACTATGTCTTGGAAGTCTAAGAAGTAAACGATCCTGGCTCAATCAACTAAGAAATCAGAAATAATAGAACTAGCAATGGCTAGTAAAGAGGAAAGTTGATTGAGAGGGTCACTACTAGAGATTCCCTTATGGGAAAGACCGATCCCTCCGGTAGTTGATTAATTGTGATAGCACCGCAGCTATTGCAAAAGAAGGGAACCGGTTCTAGAACGAAAAGAGACGACTAATTTATCGTAAGCACAGTACTGTAAGAGAACTCCTAACGATAGGAGCAATGAGGGTGGATCATGTAAGATCCTAACAGAATCTAGCTGATCCTTTGACGAAAGGATTACCTAGAGAGAAAAGTCCAAAATACCACGAAGGGTATGAGACTTATGCCTAACGAACCATGGATTACAAGTGATGGTAACCCGACCCGATAGACTGGAGATCCCAAGAAACGGGTTCAATGGGTAATAACAAGTCATGAGTAATATTGAGAAAAGTTCATGCATAGTGAAGCATGAATCCCAAAGCCTTGGAGGTTGATTAAACTCTTAATGAGATCTATACTCTATGTGGAGTGAAGTACTTTACTTTGGGGGTATTTCTGATAGACTCACCTATGTGAATGTGGGAGTGAGGCCGCTCCCTATGGAACTTTGGAGGCACAAAGTTGCTAGAGCGTTCACTAAACCGGGATAACGTGCAGGGCCATAAACGCACGGCCTATGAGAGAATATCACTCAATGAAAAGATCCGGTGTGCTACATTGTCTGAGATAGGGTTCAAGACTACGAGTCACCCTTATGAAATCGGAAGTGTAACCACTACGCTAAGGTTCAAATCTTCGCGATACCTTAGCTTATGCCCAATCTTATGGAACTGTTGATGCTCAAGATAGTTTCAAAACTATTCAGGTATGAACCTTTAATTTTAGGCGGTTTTACTGTTTTTTTTCTTCATGCAGGCGGGACTAGTTTCGATCGGTTTCCCAATCAAACTGAATCGACAGTCTACGTTTCCGTTACCACGGCTAACCGAACCAAAACCGACAACCGACCGGTCAGTGGTCGGTAGGCATAGGGATGGCTTGGTTTAACCAAAAACCGAGATTTCTATTTTCGGTTAAACCAAAATCGACCGAATGACACCTCTATGAAAAATTAACGGTTTGGCTAATAAATTGTTTTTGAAAAAGTTGGGCTATTATTTTCTTTAAAACGAAAGGTTTGGCTAATAAATTATATTTAGCTCATCATCTACTATGCATACCTAAATCATCAACTCGTAAAACATAAATGAGAATCATTTCGAAATCCGGGAAAACTTCAAACCCAATCCTCCATGGATCATTGTGCAGTGCTAGAGTTTCTCTCAATTCCTTCAATCTTGTAAGAAACTGAAAGCACATGGGTCAACTACTAAGCTCTGTGTGTGGATCTTTCCCACCTACACTGCCTACTAATTGGGACCGTATTGAGCGAATCACATTTTCACATATAATCGCATTTTAGGGGTCGTTTGGAAATTAGGAGTCTAAATGAGTGATTCTGTGAATGTGTGTATTCTTTACAATCCATCATTCTTTTACATAAGCTTTATCCAGAATGCATGCATTTAAATGAAACTTTAGAATCTCAAATGGTTAGAATCATTCATTTTAGAATCTCTACAAAAAGGTGAGATTCTCTTGCTTTACTTTTGTAATTGCTTTTTTGCACTCTTATCCTTATTTTGTTTTATTTCATATTTGCGCAATGATTATATAAAGAGAACGTGATGGTTATATAAGTTTTTTTGGTCATTAAAGTGAGAATCCTTATATTCTTCAAAAGTGAGAATCACAACTATCAAACATCATATTCTTACAATCATCTATTCTTATAATCACTATACTAAAATACATACACTATAAGAATACACATATTTGTGGCCTCCCAACTTGCAAACGACCCCTCAATATTATAGATGCCAATCTAGGTTATCATAATCAATATACCAATTACATCAGCTCATCATCGTCGAACCAATTTATCCGAAATGATAATCACATAGTTTTACGAACACACTTTGCAATGCATGATACGAAAAATGCCAGTTTATTATCAATGGGCGCCAAGGTCACTATACAAATACCCGCTCGAGAAAATCATCATCATCACCAGTGGTTTTTCATGCAACCACAATTATCAATTCTAGAAGCGAGCTAAATATACCCAATCCCAATGGTTGGAGGTAAATGCAGGAACTCATATACGTCTAGGTGAGTTAATATAATCACAAAATCAAACAATTCCTATTTCCCTCATCCATGACAATCGAATCGAAATCAATGTTGTCTCACTAATTCCTGGTCAATTCATTTCTCATGTCAACATTTCATCAAAAAAATATAGTAACCAATGCCTTCCCATTGAGTTCCCATTTCAAATATTTTTGATACACTTAGTAGAGGGGAAGATAACTGCATCAATTCACCTTGAAATGGTGTATACACATAAATAAAGAGGTTGATTATGACCTTTACTTGAGAGGGGCTCATTTGAAGGAATATTGATTTAGTTTAGACAAATAAGTATTGTAGTGTATATTTGGAGTACTCTTTGCATAGTCGAGGAACTCATTATCATGCTCTAACAAGGTCATCTCCTGCTCGTGCAAGGCGATCCAAGCTTCAACTCCATATCCAGTTGGCGAATCCATCAAAGCCACAAGATTGTTTATATTATCAGCAAATCTAGCCATGCTAACCCAAACCGGATTTCCCCATCCGAAATCTACGTCATATAATCCCAGCCTAATCACGCTGGACACCACAAAGTGCATCACTTTGCTCCCGCTTTGAGCACCAGCCGCCATCATCTTCCGCCTCATCTCCTCATTTCTCATGTGTTCTTCCCTCCCAGCTCCGCCTTCTAACCTCCCCATGAACTCTCCATCCACTTTCTCGATCGAGCTTCTCAGTTTGTGCACCAGTTGCTGCAACGTCTTCGCTTCATTATTCGAAGAATGAAATTGCAAGTAATCGTCGTTGTTGTGTAATGCGATGGGGTCCCATATTAAGTTGCCAACTGTGTAGCCAGACGCCCATGGTTCCTTCATTCGATATCG